TACCAAACACCCACATCAAGACCTTTGCACATGCAGTCCCCTGCTTTCTGGCTCCCTTTTCAGGCAAACTCCCTAAGCAAACTCCCTCTCTGTTTGCTGCCCCGTATTCACTGTTAACACACAGTTCACTGGGGGCTGCTCTTTTATAAAGCTGCCTATCCTAGCTCCACCCTTCAGTTACCTAAATCAGACACATCCAAAGCAAGACCTGTCACTCAGGCACTCCAGAGGGGGGAAGAAAAGAAAAGGAAAGAGGGAGGTGGGGGAGGCAAGAAAGCAACACATACACAGGGGAAAAGGGGGGAAAAAGGCCAAACACATAGCAGGCACTAGACAAACACTCTAGTACCAATCAGCCACCCGAAGTCACAAGCACAGAGAAAAGCCTCTTCCAGACAGTCCCACACCTGAGCTGTTCATCCCAGAACAACTGCTTTCTGCTCAGCTTGCTCATCACCAACCAGAAGCCTGCACTAAAACAGGAGGAAGGACTTAAGTGGGGCACATATGCCACATGACGAGACATAAATATATGGGGATATTAAGCTGTGAAGTGGAAACCAACTGATGTGAGGAAAAGAGAACACCTAAGAGAAGCCTTAGGAAGAACATTTAGCAAGTAGGACAAGCAGCCAATATCAATACCATCAACCTTTCAACCCCATGTACCAGAAGAATGGTGCAGAGCGAGTCCACAGGATTGATTCTGCATGGTGTTGAGCCCTATGCACCCTGTTCAGGCCCCACACACCTAATCTCGCAAATACGGCCACACTATCCGCCTGCAGGGTTCCCCAAAGGTCCAGAAGTTTGGCAGCATGGGAGCAACAATTAATGCTGGCACTGTTCCCCTGCAGCCAAATTTTCAGACATGTAAGGAGCCCTGAAGGTCAGATGACACAGCTCTGCAAGCTGGATCTGGTGTGCAGGCTGGGGGCAAAAATGCAAAGCAAATGGAGGCAGCAGGAAATAATAGAGGAACAGAAAAGACTAGCTTCTAGCGTGCTAATGGTAACATGGGAAAGATGTAATGTAACAAAGCAATGCATCTATAATGGGCAACCATGCATAAGCCATTGCGACTTTCTCCAAGCTTTTTCATCCCCTCTAATTAACCGAAGAAGTAGGAGGCCCTGTTTATCCTGTACGTTTTACTGCTGCCTTTGATAAAAGTAAAGCAGAGACAGAAGGGAGGGAAACTTCAGATACCACCCACCTCCCACAAACACCACCCACACACATGCACCCATGCACAGAAAATACTGAGAGAATCAGAAATTGCATTGTAACAAACAGCATAAATACCGTAACTGAAATCAATGTAACTGAAATCAAACATTTTCTCTATTTTGAAACATAGCGGGTGAAATCTTGGCCCAGTGTAACTTGATGTATATATTTTAAAGGACATCCACACTAGTAAAAAAACCACAATTTTTGTATTTCTGATGGAAAAACCACTAATCATCAATCCAAAGACCCTATTCCTTTGCCCACAGAGAATGTATTCCTTGTGGAAAAAGACAGAAGCCCACTATCCCTGTAGACATTTAAAGCTTGCTGAAAGAAAGCTCTTGGAAAGTGTACTATTAAGAATAACAGTCCTGCCTAAACAAAAAGATGGATTAGATCATCTAAAAAAATTCCATTCCTGTTTGCTACTCTTCTGATCTTTAAGACATATTGGTGGGAATTCATTGACCAAAAGAAGCATATGGCCCTAAACAGTAAGTTGGCAAATTAAACCTTCAAGTCAAAATGAAAGTTGATCCCATAACTGAGAGAAATTGGTTTTACAACACTAAGACATTCAAGTTACAGTATTTTGATAGTCTTGCCTTTAATGGAACCATAAATTGTATGTGCTTACATTTGTTCTATAAAACTTATGATTTGTTCTTTCAAAAAAATAGACTATTTTACATAATTTACCTAGGTGGTAAAAAAAATGGATAAACTTTAAGGCCATTGGGCTGGCTTTTAAAGAAACAAATTTTGCAGCAAGCAAATTTGGAGTACATATAATACAAGCACATTTATTGAACATTTTTATTAAAATCTTTTTCATTTTAATTCTCTAAATCAGATAAATACAAAATGCAATAAAGGCTACTGATCATTAAAGTTCAGTAAAGATCATTAAAGTTCTCACTGTAAAAATTATATGAGATAGGTCCCAGGCTTATTTCTGTCAGTGCTTGCTGCTTCAAATTCACATAGTTTATACATTTACTGAATTCCCTTGACTACCAGCTATACAAACTCAGGCCTGGCTCTGAGAAATCAAGCTAGTCTACACCATGTACTGACTGCCAGTAAGAAAGGTTCTGTAAGTCAGTGTATACCTTCACTGACACTTATGAACTTCCCTTGTCTTTAGAAGGGTAGCACAGGTGTAAGTAACTAGAAGCTATATTCTGAAATATTTTTGTTATGTACAGGAATTAATATAATCCAGTTCTCACAAGGTTGGCTAGTTCCATATGGCTAACAGAAACATATGGTAATAAAAACATGCTTGAAAAAATACAATGGCAGTAGATCTGCTGAGTGAAGTGGTGTCATTTTTAACAGGAGAGCTGTACTATAAAACTAACAGTACACTTCAGTATCTTGATTTCTGACAGATTCAGCATTTAGGTATGTGAGGCATGATCCATGCCTGCTGATCTCCTTATCTGTTTTCAATAGAGCCAGGGAACTCCTGGCTAAATCTGTTCCCTGTTGATGATTCAGGCTCACTAAGGGTTCCTAGACTAGCTGGTCTTAGTTGGGGCCATGGCCTTTTTTTACCTTTGATCCACAGCCTGCTTTTGTGACTGTCATTTGCAAGATTCTTCCTGTCAAGACAGGCAGTGGTGTCATTACATTCGAGCACATTACATTGCACATTACAGCTTCTCTCTCTTTTAAAAGATAGCTTTATGAAGACACTCAAATCCATTATTTCAAGTCTGATGTTTAATTCACTATCAATGATTCATAATATATCAATTAGCATAGCCTTCTCTCCTTGTTTGTCCTGGGATTTCAATCTTTGAGATTTCTGACAGTCAGCAACAATCAGACTTCACTGAGGTTGGTAACAAATGCATGCCTTGATATTAATTTTTATGACTAGCAAAATGATTTTATGCGTCACTGCAAATTCAGAAAGCAATTGAAGAACCATGCAAAATATTGATTTGAGAAAATAAAACATCTGGTATATACTTTCTATTAGAATTGGCTAGACAATGTTAAAAGATAGGTTAATTGTCTAGCTTGAGTGTCAGTCATGTTCTGCCATAAAATAAGATGACCAAAGTCCCCATAAAGAGTTCTGCAATGCACTGTAAGCAACAATTCTAACCCTGCTCATTTTTAAGCTCCATAGATCCATTTATTCTAAGTTCTACTGTGGGTCCACATTACCAATCTAAGACATGAACCATTATCAGTAAGAATACCAGAACTGATGGGTCAATGGCCAAAACCAGTATGGTAAGACATATTTTAAAGGGCAATGTCTTTAACAATCTAATATTATACATGACCACTACACACATTTAAAAAAAATGATAGTGTAGTTATTTATATTCAAAGGAAAGTGGGGAAGAAAACTGTGAGAAAACTAACGTTATTGGGGCCTTTGACAGATATTGACAAAAAATCGAGAGCTATGGGCTGGTGTCTGTGAACAACCCATAACACATTTTCCACAGAGGTGCCCTCTCCAGCCAGGGGATGATATGGGACTGGCTCCTTAGCTCCCCCCGACCCCAGAAGAGATTGTCAATGATTGGTAAGACTCACTAATAGGCTTGGTTCCATCAGTTGTTGCTGTCATAGAACAGTGGATTGAAGAAACCACTGCTGACCTGGTGCTCTCCAGCCCCAGTTCCTGCCCTTTAAAGTTCCTAATGTGCAGGCAGCCTGAGACCAAGAAGCACCACTGGGGCTGCAGCAGCATTGTCTGATCTTGGGTCGCCTGACAGCTGGGAACTCTAAAGGGCTGGCAGCTAGCCTGATACTGGAGAACAGAGATTTGTAACAGACTTCTTGCCAGCTCTTTAAAGATCCTGACTTGCAGGCAGTCTGAGATTCAGTAGGACAGCCTTCAGTATGAGGACAGATGATTGGTGAGACTAGGTAAGTGGCAGCATGCTTGGTGTTCTGACAACTCATTGTTGGAAGGGCTATCAGGGAGCCAAGCACTCTCTCTCCCTCCTCCTTGGAGGGAGTAGTAGAGGGCCATGGGATACTGTGAGTCTTTTGGCCAGTACTGTAACTAGCCAAACATTATTGTTGTTTCAGCCAGCAACTTCTTGGGGGCAGATTTGCCATTTCTGCATTGGATACACCATTTTTAACCCAGGACAAACTGCTTTAATGTCTGTTTGGTCACAATTTATTGCAGGAAAGTCACATATAGTCACAACAAATATAATGTCTAACAGAACTCTGAAAAGTGAACAAACATTCTCTGCTCACTCCAGGAAATCCTTAACATAGTAAGAAAAGCCATCTATGATGGAAGGATGGCCCAATGCACAAAGCAAGTCAGGAATTTTCCCTGCTTGCAAATATAGGGACTACGAGGTTGATTTCTGCAGCCCATGTGTGCTGGAGGCAGAGTCAGGAGAAAACCCATAGAAAACACAGAAATGCAGTGGTAAATATCAAAGCTAGGGAAGAAAGACTAGTAGCACACTGCTTACCATGGATTCCTAAGTCAGGAAATTGATCCAGCTGTTTGTTTCGACAGTGTTTAGGAAAACAGGGTTTTGGGTACATTACACAAAAGATTATACCAAAGATTATACCTTAATCACAGAATCAATTTTCCTCCTAAAAGATGCAAATTCTCAAGGCCCCAGTGGAGAAGCAATATATAAAGCAATACAAATCTGTAAAGCTGTTTATGCTTTGAAATTTGTCTAAGTAGGTAATTTTCTGTCAGCCACTATAGAGCTCCAATATTTCAACCCAAAATTAAGCCACCACTTGTAATCTCTTACTTAAATTTGACTTCTTGATCACGGATCTTCTCCTTCAGTTCCCAGTTCTCCTGGAACACTGCCTGTGCTGTTAAATCAGTCTGTTTTTTGGAAGTGGCAAGCACATTTGATTCCTCCTCTGCCTCCTGAACTCGGTTTTGCAGAGATGTGAGCAGAGATGATTGTCGAGCATTGTTTTCTTTGTAGCTTTCCACTTCAGCTTTCAACTCTTGGAATGATGCTTCCTTAGAAGCCATTTTAGACCTGAGTTCAAGAAGCTATAGACAGAAAAGGAAGAACAGAAAAAAACATACAGAAGGGAACAAGAATTTAGTATAGACTAAAACATCTGATATTAAACATTTTTGGAATATAGCAGGAAATACAGTGTGGAACCAGATTTTCCTATTAGGATCTACAAGAAATGAGATAACAAATAGCTGCCTTTTTCAGTATTTCCCAACTGCTTTCTGTTAACTTCAGCTCAGGATTTTGAAGCAATAAGTAACTAACACAACCTTAATTAATATCAGCTTCAATGCTGCAAAGATAACGAAGTAAACAAAAACAACCACTTTGTTTTCAATAGAACTGACAAAGACTGCTTGCAGATGTTAAAAAAAAAAATCAAACAAACAAGCCGTGACTTACCAGAAGCAGCAGCACAGTACTTCAACCTGGGTCTGGAGCATCTGTATAGATCAGATGCATCAGCAGGGCTTTTTGGAGCCTTTACCTAAGCTGAGTTATTAAATAAAAGAGCCAAAAAAGCCCCATTAAAACGCCTAATCGATACAGACATTGGGCAAGCTGGGTCCAGCTAATGTGTTGCCTCTTCTGGGCATGCGCTGGGCTTGGTGCGGGAGCTCTGAAGCTCATAAAGGGTCTAGAGTTTAAAGTAAACCATAATTTTTGGGGGGTTTTTTAATGTCTACAAGCAGCCAAAGTTAATAAGAAAAAGAGTATTTTCAAATATCTAAAATACATTGGAAAAAACAGATTGAAAAATAAAAAACAGAAAGGTTACTATTGTCTTTTTAATAAAAATTACATGAAAAGGCATATTGGCAAGAAGAGTCATTCTGTAAGTTCTGTGAGAGCAGGATGTGCTCCTTCTTACCGGTAGAGCACTGTGCGGGGACTGTGGTACATCATGTGGAGACGGGACGCTAGAGAATGTTGCTGCCAATCACACTTGTACATGTGTATGACCAAACCTGATTTTCAAAGGCTTAAGAATTCAGCTAAATTCAGATGATTAACACTGAAACAAGAAAAGGATCTTTCTGATCTCATATGAGTATCCCTGTTCCAAGGTAGGAAGATGCTAAAGCTTTACAAGACGGAAGACTTTTTGGTGATACCTTCTAAGGGACGAATTGTATAGTTCAGCGAGCTATTAGACTAGCTTTCAGGCATGAAGTGCCCATTCCTCCGGTCCTGACGTTAAAGCAGTTTCTCAAGGGATAAAAACTTAGGTCCTGAGGAAAGGCACCTGATAAAAAACTTGCACAACAGCTCTCAACTATACAGTTGGTCCAATAAAAGATACTACCAAAAAGCCTTGCCTCAGAGACATTTCTTAGATCAGAGGTCAGCAATGTTTTTGAACAGAGTGCTAAAAACACCTGCAACCTCAACTTGTAAGATGTTGGCATGCCAGGGGCAGATGGCAGGGGACCCACAAGGGGCCCCAATCCTTGTTGTGCTAGCGCAGTCCCAACCCCTTCCCCACCATCCACCCTGAGGTGCGCATGCCAAGCAAAATGCCTTTGCATGCCACGCTCTGGGACCCATGCTGGGGGTTGCTTATTCCCGTCCTAGACCATCACAGCTACAACACTCCAATCCTACTAAAGCTTTTCAACTCACAGCATTTTGTTGGTGTTTTTCCCCAGTAGGAAATAACATATTTCCTCCCCCACCTCAGCCGAGTCATTCTTGGAAATGGCTGAGCCATTTCTGCTGAAAATTTCCTCCCAAAAAAATCATCCTGGAGGCAGACATCTCACATGTAAAATTTCAATCTAACTCCCCAAAGTATGGCAATGTTATAAACAACAGAAAGCAGAGTCTTACAATAAAAAAATGTTAAGCAACATTTAGACATTGTTGCCAGACCCACTTATAAAGAACAAGATGAAACATGAAGCATTTCATTTTAAACACATGAAGATTAAAATTATGCAATCAATTAAACTATGTTGAGTAGTTCTTAGATGTTGTTTCAGGGCATAGGCACAAGAACAAGCGACTGTAATGTAAATGAGGGATAGATTTCCTGTGTGTCAAGCTTTCCTGTGGTAACTGTCTATGTATATGTTTTTCCTCCATAGTAAACAAAAACTAATCTGTGGTAGTTTAGCCCTGAATGAGAGAGACAGATTAAAGTATCTTGCTTATGGTCACAAAGGAGAAGTTTTGCACAACCACAAATAGATCCAAATCTCCTGAGAGCTAGTCCAGTGCTTTATACACAGAATAATCCCTCCTGAGTTTACAAAAAGACACAACTGAGGGGACAGGCACACCAAATTCAAACAATCAGTTGGCACCATCGTTCTTTACAGAGCATGTTGTATGCACCAATGAGTTCCTTGGTGGCCACAGAGTCCGATGTGTGAGTGGCAGTCCCGCCCACAAGTAGGGCACACCCATGCACTAGCAATGCTCTGAATCTGAGCCACAGATTCTTTCCTCCTCGGACACTGGTCATCACAAAACTTAATCCAGTCCGCCTCACAGCGCCTCGCTCAATCTGGAAGCTGACCCCACCAGCCAGGGGAGCATTCTGAACTGTGCATCCTTTGGAATCTCTGTGGATGATTGGGACAGAAGTCATCTTGCAAGCATCCTGAAATTTGCACAGTGGTCTGCCTTTCTTTCTGGACCCTTCGCAAACTTCAGAGTACAGCACATGCTTCAAGATACTTGAGATCTAGCATTTGCATGACAACCTAGCCACCTGAATCTTTTCTTACTAATCAATGTTCCCATAAATGACATACCAGCATGATTTAATACTTCCACACTTATCACCCCGTCTTGCCATTTTATTCAAAGAATTTTACACAGGCATCTGATATAAAAGATGTTTAGTCTTTTGGTATGTTCGGCATAGGTCACCCATGTTTCTGAGCCATACAGAACAGTGGATAAAACATGGCCAAAAATATGGATTTTCACGTTAGTTGACCGTTTGTTATTGTTCCAGGCTCTGTCTTGCAAAAGACCAAAGTTCCTAGCTGCTTTACCAATTCTACTAGCCATCTCAGCATCATTTCTACATTGCTGGTAACAATAAAGTCAAGGTAGAAAAATTGGTCAACAACATGCAGACAAGTACCGTCTAAGGTGATATCTGGAAATTACCACAGGGTAAACGAGGGTGGGATTTGCAGTATATTAGCTACTCTAAATTAAGTGTCTGTGCTCCTGTTTTACCCAACAGTAAATGAAAACAGGCCACAGTAGCTTACCGTTCCTTTGTTAAGTGTGCCCATGGCTTCATTTTTCTTTTAATTAATGAAGAATAGTCTTACATTTAAGACACTGGACTGAGCTTAAAAGGTTTGAATAAATTCCTGGCTCTATCAGAGACCACTATCTAATCTCCTGTAACTCAATTCTCCTTCTATAAAATGAGATAATACCTCCTTTCTCCCCCCACTCTCTCCTGTTAGTTTAATTAGTAAGCCAACTGGAGGACAGAGCATCTCAGAATAAGAATTCTGCACAGCATCTAATGCAACAGAAAATTATCTCAGTTATTATAATTTAATAAGTGTTATATTCAGCAACAGTAAATTTGGTATTTTGGAAGAAAGGGATGGTTGATTTCTTGATGCTTATTCTCTCTTTTCCAAAAATATCACTGAAAAGAAGTCTATAATGTATCTCCATGACAATAAGTAAATAAAATGCTTACTCTCACTGATGAGTCACATAAGAGATCACAATTCTTATCTTCCTTAACTAAGAGGAAATGTAAAACAAAGGTTCTAACCATGTTCATTAAATACCTGAACAGATTTTACAATAACGAGAGTTAACCAGCCCAATTCCAGCTCAGTTCCAGACAATTACATTTCTATAGATCTATATTTTGCTAATGGTTTATTGTCTTGCAGTGTAAGAGTAAAATTTCATGTTACAATTTGATCATGTTAAAACTTGAATGATCACACATTAAGTTTAATTAACTAGTAGGCCTGTGCGAATAGATAAGTATTCAATTTGGATTCAGCCGATTCGGAGGACAGTGATTCAATTCGGAGATTCGGGTCACTGTCCCAAATCAATTCGGCCAAATCAGCTTTGAAAGATTTGGCACTGATTCAGAGAGATTCGGTGATTCGGCCATAGACTTTAATCACTGAAATACCTACAACTTTGCCTTTTTTTTTGGTAGATTTGGATTAAAACAGCCAGGATGGTAGCCCCTTCTGAGGGCATGAAGCCTGCCAAGTTTCAAGGAGATAGGTGCAGGGTTTTCTAGGAAACTGCATCTCAGGCTGCTGACAAGCAAAACTCGTGACATGTGTGACTTTGTGTTCATGTTAAGGTGCAGCAGGATGAAACCAGGAGGAATGGTAGCCTGTAACAGGAGGCCTTCCTGGTGCTGGTTAGATCTCCACCCCCCCACCCATTTCTGGGCCAACCGCCCGCCCCTCTTTTTCTTGCCATGCCTTTTTGGAAAACTGATTAAGATGTTTCCCAGGCAGGAGGCTTCCCAATTAAGTGTCTTAGGGTGCAATCCATTCCGCAACTCCATACCTCCCCTAACACTGTGGCCCATGCCTTGCACATTGCATCCTTCACCCCCTCCAGCTGTGGTCCCCTCTCTGGGACCTTTGGCTCCCCCTTAGGCCCTGGCCTGGCCTTCAGGCCAGTTGAAATCCCGAGCCTCTTGCTCTGGACATTCCTCACGATGGGCCCCTGGCCCTTTGACCTCCCTTTGGATCCTGGCCCCAGCATGGACAGGTTGAGGGTACCACTGATATCTTTTATTAGACCAACTGAATAGTTGGAGAAATATATCTTAGCAAGCTTTTGGATTTAAAAACCCTTTGTCAAGCTGAGGAAGCATCTAGTTGATGTGTGTGTGCTCTTCCTGGATGGAATGAATAGTGAAGAAGCCAGAGGCTGGCATGCAATGCAGGCAAGGAAACCAGTCAGTGAAAATGTAAATTGAGGTGTCAGGGGGTGAAGGACAGGCGGGGGGGGAAGGAGGATGTAGCAGGTAAAAGTGGAGAGGTACCTGGGGAGTCAGATGTCA